AGCACACTGTGTTCCACCTTGATAAGTGGTGGCCATGACTTCAAGCTGAATGGGCTAGAGCATTGCATCAGTGGAGCAGATAGCCTAGCAGGGAGCACTGTATTCACAAGCCTGCATCTCTGTACCTTATAATTTGATCAACCCTTTCTCTCTCCCAGGGGGAAAAAAACCAGTGTTTTTGTAACACAGTGGCATTTTCTGGAAATCATCCCTTCATGGCATTGCCCTTTTGCCCTTTTTTTTAGCTTGTCTTCACTGATCACTGTTCCTATCATTTTATAGACTCTGTATGTCTATTTGCAGTGCCTTTCCCTTGTAATACAATTGAGCTTACTAAATATGATGGCTACCTCGATCTTCTTCTTTATAGTTTCCTGATACTGAATATTACTGTGTTGTCACCATGGCTCCAGTATGCCAGATCACCAGGGCTTCTTCCTCACTGATCAAAGGACCTCTCTTCAATTCTTTTTCTTGAACCTAAAAATAGGAAGAACTTCTTCTGTCCCTCCTACATGTCTCATTGCCCTGGGCATTTGTGCAAGATGGGCCTTGAAATGCTACTTGCCACTGCTAAAATAGGAGGCTGTGACTTTTGTCTCTGCTCATTTTATTTACCTTCACCAGTGTTCATCCCGTGTCCTTTGTCCACTGTTACATGCTCTTTAATACTTAAATTTTAAACTGTTTACAGGAATGCCAAGGTTGCTCTGTGCATTACTTAGCAGAAAATCATGATCTTACAGGCTTATTAAAGTAGTGCCATTATCAACATTCCTTGCTCAGCACCTTAGTACTTACATGTATGTGAATGTGTTTGTTGCTGACAACACCAAAACCCACTCTTCTGTGTGTTAATTTTTCTTAACCCTCTAGACTGATAGAGCTCTGAAGGATTTCTCTTGTAGTAAAGTGAGAAACCAGTACCCTGGGCATGCCCATGGCAAATAAATTACTTTTACAAAGCACCCTGAACTTTGAAACCATGATATTCTAGATGCATGGGAGAGGCAGAATGACACTGTAATGGATACCAGTCAAAAGTTCATGTGATAAAACTAATTTTCATAATTATTGCAGTTAATAGGAGCACACCTGTGAATAAGTAACTTAAGAGCAAGGAGCCAAGTGGCAAAGTGGGGCAGTTGTTATGCCCAAATTTACTGGAAGAAAGGGAATCTTTATTTTTATTATGATGATGTAAATGATGCATTGAATTGCTAATGGCAGGTTTTCTTTTGTGTGGAATAATTAATGCTGTAAACTTATCTGGATTCTCATACATAATGTAACACTTTAAGTCCAGGTTTTAATGTAAAGCTAAACTGGGTGTCTAGCCAAGAATAAACTCAGTATATGGAAAAAGTCTCAAGTGTGTTCTCTGTGTATATTATCAGTTCCCAGTCAACCAGGGTAACTTTGAATAGCTCCTTTAGAAGACAAGCTGTTCATTTTCACTCATGGTGCAGAAAAATGATTGCACCCATTTACTATGCAATTCAGGGTTTGGCACTTACACTGCCTGCTTGAGCAAACTGATTTGCACTTTGTTGTGGAAAAAAATATTGTTTATAAAGCTGAGAGAGCAAAGTATGTAAAGATAAGGGTAAAATATTCAGAACATGAGTCTTCAGCATGGAAAACTCATGACCAGGGGTTTGTTCAAGGCTTATGGGTGGCATAAAGAGTTATTGTTCACAGTCTCTTACAATATAGGAACTGGGTACATGAAATGGGTACAGTGTGGAGTAGTCTGTACAATATATAAGAAGGCTGAGGAACTCTGCAACAGGATTG